AGTTCGAGGCCAGCCTGGGCTACCAAGTGAGCTCCAGGAAAGGCGCAAAGCTACACAGAGAAACCCTGTCTCGAAAAACCAAAAAAAAAAAGAAGTAAGGGTGGAGCACGCTTAAATATGGAGATGAGAGCTGTAAGTGAAGCCAAAAATTGAGAAATAAGGAGATGGGAGAGAAACGCATCATCCAGGGATTTAGAAACAACCACTAGAGTAATAAAGATGGATTAAAATGATTACCTCTAGTGGGGGATGGGAAGGCTGGACAAGAACGCATCCTTTCCATTACAAGTTCTTTGTCCTGTTTGATTTTTCTTAGCTATGTGCGTATATCAGTTTTACTTTAATTAAAATTCCTTCCACATAGAAATTTGCCACAGGAATTAAGACAGATGATCAGATCAATTTAAATGAATTTAAAGCAATATGTTATTTGGTGTAAAAATATTTTCATTTATTGAGATCGTTTCCCCAAGGGAAGTGAATATTATTTCAAAGAAATCAATTTCTTCATAAAGGATGTTTCTAATCATAACAATATCCAATTTTTAATTACTTTGTGTTTTTGAATGGATGTCTCTTGGTTAGTTGAATTCAAAGCACTCGGAGTATGGTTGAGGGGTTTTCAGAAAGAAAAGGTTTCTCCAGATACATGGATCTGGTGTGCCTAATACTTCTGAGTAAATATTTTGTCCAGTAACACTTGCCCCCAAAAATGCTCTCTTAAAAAATTCTAACTGTGCCTTTAGGTGATGTGTAGCTAAATGGAATTTAAATTGTTGCTCTTTATGATAATCAGCTTTATGTGTGACCTTAGAACATTCAAATATTCCAGCGGGGCAGTGGTGGCACATACCTTTAATCCCAGCACTCGGGAGGCAGAGCCAGGCAGATCTCTGTGAGTTCAAGGCCAGCCTGGACTACAGAGTGAGTTCCAGGGAAGGCGCAAAGCTACACAGAGAAACCCTGTCTCGAAAAACCAAAAACAACAACAAAAAAAACAAAACAAACAAACAAAAAAAAAACATTCAAATATTCCTTGTTTGTGTATGGAAACACTGACAGCTCCCCGCCCCCGCCCCCTCCCCCAACTCTTTCCAGCAGCTCTCCAACCTCATGCCTGGCAAAGACCAGCCACTCATGAGGGTTCAGTTCACACAGTCTTTGCCATGCCATAATCCCTTTGCGTTCTCACTGTGCCATGATACCCACCTGTTGAGGTATTGTTTATATGCCTACTCCACATGGATGGTGACAATAAGCCTGTGTGGGGTTCTTCCCCGCCAGGCCATGCCCCATCGTGATAGCAGAAGTCCTGACAGCAGACAGCAGCCCCGGTAGTGGTTTTGGAAAGACAGGTACATCAGTGCCCTGTTGCATTTTGCTTAGGATGTTGTCATGATTCGAGTGTGAATGTCCTCCCACAGACTCGTGGGCTTGAACACTTACGCGATTCCGACCTGGTAGTACTGTTTTTGAATGCCTGGGGAACCTTCAAAAGGTGGAGTCTTGCTGGGGGAAATGGATCTCTATGTGTTCCTCAAGCCTCATGGGCTATATAGCCAAGCCTGGCTCCTTCCTGAGCTCTCCATTTTCCTGATCTGCTGAGACAACATCAGTCTCACACTGCTGCTCTCACAGACAGGAGCTGAACCTGTGGCCCTCTTTACCAGGGTGGACTGTATGCCTTCCGACTAGGAGCTCAAATAAGCCCTTCTCCCCAGCCCTGTCCCTCCCAGGAATTTGGTCGCAGCAGTGTTAAAAGGAACGAATACAATTGCACACACAATGGCTCACGAGTTGCTCTTGTTAAAGCATTAATACGAATGCAGATTTCAAAGAAGCAATGCTCAGACACCAGCGCTGCACTCTCCTGTAGTGGGGTCGCTCAGACAATCTTCACTTGACTTTTCCATTTTCTGTTTTCCTCCCCCATCACTTTCTCACCTCCTTTCTTTACCATCTTCCAACTAAAATTTAAAAATGGATTTAAAATCATATACAATACAAACTGTCTGGTAATATTGTATACAAACTGTCTTAGTCAATGTCTTATTGCTGTGGAGAGACACCATGACCATGGCAGCTCTTAGAAAGGAAAGCATTTGACTGGGAACTGCTCTGTAGGCAGCAGGAAGAGAGAGCGAGCCACGCAGCCTGTCTTGAGCTTCTGAAAGCACAAAGCCCACCCCCAGTGACACCCTTCCTCCAACAAGGCCACCCTCACTCCGATAAGGCCACACCCACCCCAAGGCCACACCCACCCCGACATGGCCACACCCACTCCGATAAGGCCACACCCACTCCGATAAGGCCACACCCACTCACTCCGATAAGGCCGCAGCTCCTGTCCTCTCTCAAGCAGCACCGCTCCCTAACGACCAAGCATTCAAATATTGGAGCCTATGGAGGCCATTCCTAACCAAACCACCACACAAAGATGTCTAAGATAAAAGATGGCTTAAGGGGTAAGACAATTGTATCGCCACCAGGATGTCTATTGATTTTATAAATGTTTATTGATCATCTACATGCCAGGGAATGTGCTTGTCGTCAGAGACAGCCTGATGGTGGATCTTGTTCACATGGAGATCATTGTAATGGAAGACATTTTTTTCTTCTCTAATTAAGCAGTGAGGTTAGCTCTGAAGTTTCAAAATACAAAGGAAAAGGGAACTATTAGGATGAGTTGTTTTTATTTTGTGTATGTGTCAAGAAAGACCATATTTCTGTACTGGCTGTATTAGTTACTTTTTGTTGCTGTGATAAAGCATCAGGATCAAAATTGATTTAAGGAAGAAAGACTTTGACTTACAGGTCCAGAGGGAGAGTCTGCAGAAGCAGGGGAGTCTGTGTGGGCAGGGGAGTCTGCGGGGGCTGGAAAGTCTGTAGAAGCAGGGGAGTCTGCAGGGGCAGGGGAGTCTGGGGGGGAGGGGAGTCTGCGGGGGGAGGGAGGGGAGTCTGCGGGGGCAGGGGAGGCTGCAGGACAGGGGAGGCACGGCTGAAGGCAGCTGGAGCAGGGAACCGAGAGACCACATCTCAACCTCAGACCTGAAGTAGAAAATGACCTGGAAGAGGACCGAGGCTACACACCCTCAAAACCCTTTTCCAATGACACACTTCCTCTCCATCATGGCTCCACCTCAGAGTTTCCGTAGCCTCCCCAAACAGTGTCACCAGCTGGGGACCTAGTGTCCAAATGCATGAGCCTGTGGAGGGCATTTCTCATTCAAGCCACCACAGCTGTATACAGAGAGAAGGTGAGTGGGATAGTTATTACACAGAGGGCCTTGAAATGTTTCAATGGTGGCTCTGTTGGAAGGCACTGATACAAATGTCATGGAGACCAGTGCTTAGGTTTAATACAAACCTACCAGAACTTTCTATTTTAAATCCCCACTGCACTAACCATGGTTAATGGTTACAGAATGGAAATATCCCCCCGCCACCCCCGTGTCTCTCCAAGACTTAAAATTGAAATTCAGTCATGTAGACAATGATATGACATGCATTACATTGCTACAGGTGTGGACTGAGTCATCCTGGTACATCTGAGGGCATGTCTGGACTCACTGAGGATCACTACAGAATGAAGTGACCTATGGCATAATCACAAGAGAGAATCAGAGCCAACTCAGTTGAGCGGGGCCTATAGGGAAAAATGGTAGCAATGATGGTATGGGCTCTTGGACGCCACTGCCAGGAACGTATTTTGAACATTAAGGAAGCATTCAGCTCCCTGGTCAGACATGGTGCAATGAAAAGGCTGTTAGTCCTTGCTGTAGTCTGGAGATGACATTCAGTGCTTTGATTCCCAGGAGAATACCCAGAGGGGGAGCATCACCAACATAAGGAGTCGACTTCATCTCTCACTTGATGGCTGGCTGCTCCATGCCACTTCGGCCCCACGTCTAGACAAGCTGGAAAGTATTGCTATGCAGGCCTTTGGAGCTCATGACTAACTATAAATTAATCTCTCTCTTCTCTCCCAAGTACTTTCAAACCCTGACTGGGTCTAGAAGAAAGAGTCACACAGAGTAAAGTGAAGTTCAACTCGCTTCAGAGGTGTGCAAGAAAGGAAGGAGAAGGAAGAAGGAAGAATTCTGAAAACACAAAATGAGGGAATCTGCTTCAGAAATCATAATTAATATGAGGAGATTGAATTGAAATCTTTTTAAACCAAATGGGGGTTTTGTAGTGAATTAAAATTATAATCCTGCTACACATGATTTATAAAAATTACATCTTTAAAGTAACTGCTCGAGAGCTGTGAGATGGTACAGCAGGTGCCAGTCCTGATGACCCACGGTCAAGCCCATGGACCCACACAGTGCAAGCACTGCTCTGCAGATTCAGTGGAATCCTCTTACCCTCACATGTACACCTAGCATGCCATGTGCGTGCCCACACACATATATGCAATAAATAATAAAGCCAATAAATAAGTAAACCACTACTAACAGCTGAAAATAAAGGCTCAGGAAATATAAACCAGGAAATCAGGAGGAAGAAAAGGGTGATATGGCGACATATTCAGACAAAATTGAGTTCCCTGTGAGAACCCTGAATGGAACACAAAGGAATGTTCTATTTGGCAAAGGTGCAGTAAACTCTAAATTGGAATGATCCCCAGTCTTTTTTACACCAAATGGCATAGCTATGAAACGTATGAAGGAGCATTAGCCAGACTATGTGAGCGAAGTGGTTCATGATTCTTATGGGGATTTTCTCAGAAAATCCACTTACTACCTGAATATGAGATGATACGTGGTTTTATAAAGATTTTTGGAAGAATGCAAACAGTTACAGACAGTTGGATTTTCTCAGGGTGAGGGTGTTTAGGAATTGCTTGACACTCCAACAAGACTGATTCTGATTGGTTGATGTGAAATATAGTAACCAGAATAAAGTTATTGTTCATTGGCTGGCTTTCAGAATATACTTTACTGATACAGAATCATCATCAGTTTATTAGGATATGTATAAACCTAGTTCTAGTGGTGATTTGCTGCTCCAGACAAAGAACAATCAGTTCTTATTTTTTTAAATGTGTGTATATGTGGGAGCATGTGCATGTGGTTGTTTGTGCATGTGTGTGTGTGGTGTGTGTGTGTGAACATATGCATGTGCACCTGTATATGCAAGTCTGTACACACTTGTGTGTATACACATGGAGGTAAAGGAGAACACTGATATCCTGCTCTATCATTCTCTACCTTCCTCCCTTGACACATGGTCTTTCACTGAACCAGGGCTAGCAGCCAGCAAGCCTACTGATCCTTCTGCCTCCATCTCCTAAGCAGTGGAGTTACCGGAGTTGGGTCAAACCTGGCTGTTCACATGAGTGCTCGGAATCTGTGTTCTGTAAGAGCTCTTATTCACTGAGCAATCTCTCCAGCCTCTCAACCAGTTCCTTCCTATAAGAAGAGAAAGTTTCATTATCAGAACCTTGCCTGAAAGAAGCTTAGACTATAGCACCAGGAAGGAGAATACATGAACAATTGTCATATAAAATGAAGAAGTGTATTCTGCAATTAATGTTGAAATTTAATCTTGGAATCTGGGCTTGAATGGTAGATATATAACTTTGGCAAGTCAATGAATACTTCTTGGTGTAAGTTTCTTTAAAATGCTTGGCAGACTCTGTTTGGAGGTGAAAAAGTTGAGAGATTTGCAGTGGTCCGTGAGACACTGAGGTCTATGGCAGAAAGTGAGATCTATGTACTATATGAGTGTATGAGAATGTGTGCACAAATAACGTGAGTGAATGTTGTACAAACAGACCACTTAAAACAGAAATTTGGGAACTTTTAGAAAGAAAAATTGAAGCATAAAACCACAGGTGGATATTATGACTTGTGGTTGTTTGAAAAAAAAATGGCCCCTATAGGGAGTGGCATTATTAGGAGATATGGCTTTGTTAGAGTATGTATGGCCTTGTTAGAAGAAATATGTCACTGTAGGGGTGAGCTTTAAGGTCTCTTATGCTTAAGCTATGCCCAGTGTGGCACAGAGTTCACTTCCTGTTGCTTGTAGATAAAGATATAGAACTCTCAGCTCCTTCTCTAGCACCATGTCTGCCTGAATGCCACCATGCTTCCCACCATGATGATAATGGGCTAAACCTCTGAAATTATAAGTCAATCCCAACTAAATATTTTCCTTTATAAGAGTTGCCATGGTCATGGTGCATCTTCCCAGCAATAGAAACCTTAAGTAAGACAGAAATTGATACCAGGAGTGGGGTTTTGCTGTGATAGGCTTGACCATGCTTTTGTTTGGAGGAATTTGGACTTTGAACATTTGGGTTAGGAAAGTAGTAGAATGCTTTAAGTACAGCTTAATGGGTCATGTTAGTAGGAATGTGGAAGACAGTGGTGCTGAGGGTGATTTGAACTGGGAGGAAGGCCTGACTTAAGAGGTTACAGAGGAGAAGAATTTTAGTATGCTGCCTAGAGATTATGCTTGTGATATTTTAGTGAGGAATCTGGCTGCTTTTTGCCCTTTTCTAAAGATTCTGTCTTAGGGTAGACTGAAGAGATTTGGATTAATTCTGTTGGCAGAGGAAATCTCAAAACAGCTTATTATAGACTCTGTCATATGGTTATTAGTGTTAATGCTAATGAAGATTTATAATGAAAAGGAGCAAGCTAAGCAAGGAAAAATATAAAATGAACAATTTGGGGAGAAGAGGAGCACCAGGAAGCTGTTAAAGGAGATAAACAGCTTAAGAAATAGAATAAAGAGTGTGGTGACCTCAGGGTAAGATCCCCCCGAGCTAAATTTACAACTTGTGAAAATGAACTAAAGAAAAGCTTAGAGCTTGGTGTGGTGTTATAAACCTTTAATAGCAACACTCCAGAGGCAGAGGCTGGTGGATCTCTGAGTCTGAGGCCTGCGTGGCCTACAAATCCAGTTTCAAGACAGCCAAGTTTAGTCAAGTGAAGGAAACCATCAAAAACAGAAAGCTGGTGAAGATGTAATTGATAAGGGGGCCATGTTTCAGTCCCAGCAAGAAGCAGAATTTGTCGGTTTTGGCCATGTGGTTCTTGGTTTAGAGTCAAGGATAGAAGAAAGGGGTTATGGAATCTCCCTCTGTGACTAAGGAAAGCTTCTGAGGCCAGGCATGTGGCAGGGGTGCCCCTGAATGGAGGCATAGAGAGATCATAGTGTGAAGCTGTGAAGGTGAATCCTGAATTGCCTTTAAGACCCCAAGATGTTGGAGATGCTAGAGTGAGTGGTGAGGGGTTACCTCCTGAGGAGAGTACCTAACACAGAGTGGAAACAGACCAAGCGAAAGAAGTGTATTGCAGTCAACAAAGTTGAGAGAAGTTGGAGATCTGAAAAGATTTTTGACATCAGACATGGAGATGTAGAGTTTGGAGTTTGCCCAGCTGGTTTTTGGTCTTGCTTTGCTCCAGTATTTCTATGCTCCCTTCCCTATGTTTTGGAATGGCAATGCATATTCTGAGCCATTGTATGTTGGAAGTATTGATCTGCTTTTTGATTTTGATTTTATAGGAGATTACAGTTAAGAGATTGCATTAATTTCAAAAGAGACTTTGAACTTTAGCCTTTTAAATAAGTTTGGGACTGTTACAGACTATGGGGACTTCTGAAATTGGACTGAATATCTTTTTGCATTTTGATATGGGTATCAGACTGTGGGGGCCAGGGGGGTGAATGTGGTGGTTTAAAAGAAAATGACCCCCATAGGGATTGGCACTATTAGGAGGTGTGGCCTTGTTGGAGGAAGTGTGTCACTATGGGGCTAGGCTTTGAGGTCTCCTACGCTCAGCTATGCTCAGTGTGGCACAGAGTTCACTTCCTGTGGTCTGAGGATCAAGATATAGAACTCTCAGCTCCTTCTCCAGCACCATGTCTGCCTGCATGCCACCATGCTTCCTACCATGATGATAGTGGACCAAACCCCTGAAACTGTAAGCCAGCCCATTAAATGAGTTGCTGTGGTCATGGTATCTCTTCACAACAATAGGACCCCTGACTCAGATAGGACTCAAATATAAAATGTCCCCCATTGACTCCAGTGTTATACGTGTGGTTCCATCCAGGGATGCTGTGGGAACTTGGCTTAGTTGGAGGAAGTAGGTCACTACGGTGTACTTTGAAGGTTATATCCACAAAGGAAACAGCCTCCTCCATTTGCTTTTGCCAATATGATATTGTGCCCAAGCTCATGGGGCCAGGAAACCAGGCACTGAAACCTCTGGACCCACCATCAAAACAAGTCTTTCTTTTCTACAGCCATGTCGGTCAGGCATTTCAGTCACAACGATGTCAGCGTAGCTACTGCATAGACACGGTAGTCATGCAGAGGTGACTGGGGCAAGAGGTGAAGTTTGAAGTGATTTACACTCAGGGAAAGACTAAAGATCAAGGATGGCCAAGGCTGCACTGAGCTAGAGTGACATGAAGTCTCTGGAGTCAATGGATTCGAAAACGAAGCCATCTTCAAAGACATTTCTAGATCTCGATAGGAGACATGGAAGTGAGTATGGGACACTTTTTAAGGACGTTAAACAATGAAAGTAGAATTTTAAGAGGGGAAACATCACCAAAAGGATTTTTTATTAAATAGGCAGAGTGGAAAGAGCCAGAGAAGAGGGAGAGATTAAAGATGCTAAGCGAAGAACGAGGTCCTGACAGCGTGTCTGCAGAAGGAATAGGAACAGTGTTGTTCTCTACAGGAAGAAGAGTCCTTCCCAGCAAAGAAGGATAGAGGTAACTGCTGTGATACAAAGATGGAGGACTGAGGTGGAGACGAGGAAATGAGAGAAGTTGGAACTGACTGGTCCTGGTTTTCTCTGCAGGGAGTGCATTCGTGTGGACAGGGGCCTGAGGTTACAAGCACTCTGTAATTTCAGACAGGAAAAGGCTTGGGTCAAAATGCAATTAGAAGCCAGTGAAGAGAGCTCAAAGGGATCGTCAGCTGCCAAGTGAGAGAAGTAAGTTCACATTTTGTCAAGTCTAAATCAGTAAGTAACTGAGATACTGGTAGGTCACATTAAATAAACAACATTCTCCTAACTAAAATCTTCAGCGTGCTTGCCCGAGAACAGTGACTCTGTCAGGATGGAAATAGGCAAGGTGGTCCAGTAGAAGGTCGAAGGAACAGAGGCTTCAGTGGGCGGGAAGGGGTCAATGGTCAGAATGTAGCACAGAATCAAGCAGGGTGGGGATGAGGCCAATGAAGGCAGCTCCCCTGCAGAGCAGGGAAGGCTGGAAAGGCAGGGTGCTCCCAAAGACAAGGTGGTGGAGCCAGACTGTTCAGGGCAACGGAAGGTCTGGGTTGCAGATGAAGGGGATTTCTTCTGCAGGTAATGTCCTGAGAAATGGAAGCTCCTTGATGATGAAGACTCCCATGGATTAGAATCTAAAATAGCGATGATACCCATGTGTAAGAACGAAGGCTGCTTGGTGAACATGAAACTGTCGCCAGCCATGAGAACAATGAGGACAGAAAGCCATGGGCAGGAGTGTGAAGAAGGATGATAGTGCCTAGAAGATTCAGTGGTGGTTGAAGAACAGGAAGGGAGAAGGACAGGCAAGCTAAGGTGATGAATAACCATGGCACGACAGCGTCTGGTTGGAGGATGGCCATGCATAACTCCTCTTTAGGAACCCTTTGCCAAAGCTTCCGTTCTGTTCATAGGGCACTTGGGCAGAAAAGGAAGTATTCAAGAAAGCAGGGTGACCTGTCAGGCCTCTCAAGGTTAGGTGTGTAAGCGTGCTCCTCCCTGAGGCTTGCTGAGCAAGCTCATGGTCGCTTTGTTAAGTTTCACTTTGCTTTAAGCTAACTCTGAGATTCCTGGCTTTGCTGAAAGGACAAGCCATGTGGAGGTTGGACTTTTGCATAATCTGTCATTCACACTGACATGTGAATGGGTCTTTGATACATACCACGGGGATGGGGTCGGAATCAAAGGATGGGGGGTAAGGGAAAGGAGCCCAAGGAAAGGCTGAGGAGTTGGGGCTTGCTCATCTGTCCGCCCTCAAGAGCAAAGAACAGCTTTTACAGGCCTTAGAAAGACGTGTGCCTTGGAGAGAAGCATGTAAGGATGCTTGAGATTTGGCTTTCATCTGATGAAGTGTGTGTGTGTGTGTGTGTGTGTGTGTGTGTGTGTGTGTGTGTGCACATGCATGGGTGCATGTATGTGTATCCGCATGAGAAACATAAGAAGGCCAGAGGTCAATCTTAGATGCTTTTCTTCAGGACTGACAGGGCCTTTCACAGGAGCGTGGTGCTCACTGATTCAGCTAGTGAGCCCCCGGGATTCTCCTGTCTCTGTCTCCTTAGTGTTAGGATTTCAAGCATCTGCTATCATGCCCAACATTGTATGTGTGTGCTCAGGACTGAACTCAGGTCCGCAGTCTTGTGCAAGCACCTTGCTGACTGAACTGTGTCTCCGGACCCTGATGAACTTGTCTTATTTAAATGCTGCAGTCAGTCTTATACTCAGGACACAGACTTCTGTCGACACCGTGTAGGAAGGATGGAGGTGTTCAAAAGCCTCCGCTGTGTGACACAACCAGACGTGCAACAGAAGATATAACACAAGTCATAAATGTGAGCTACATGTGATACAGTTTAAAGAGCCAAAGGAGAAAGGGGAAATTAATCCTTATGGGATTTTATTGAAGCCTATAAAACTAACAAAGGTATCATTTAGACATAGAATCAAAATGGTAAAACCATTGACATATGCCATTTTTGTATTAATGTTTCAAAAACCCTATGTGTAATTTATACCAGTATTCCTCAGTTTAGTCTACCCATATTTAAGGGACATATTGACAAACATGGCTGGTGGCCACCATCTTGGATAACACGTAGTTTAATACACACTTGTAATGAAAGTGTGACATGGATAAGATGTGAGTGGGGAAATAAAGAAGGGGAGAGCTTAAAGAAGGCTGAAGTTGTCAGGGTGAGGAACTCATCAAGGAATTTAGAATGAAGCTTAAAATTAGGGTCAGAGCAAGCGAGGTGAGGGTAAGTCCTACGCCAAAGGTCTTCAGGATGCTGGGAGAGAACGCAGGAGGGCGGGGAATCAGTGGCCAAGAGCAAGGGGAGCAGTCAGGAGTCCACCCAAGTGTCCGCTGCTGCGTGTAGCTGCACTACGCTCACCATTTTTGCGATTCTTGCCTCGTTGGATGTGGTGCCCATGCCCCAGGCTTACACTCAATCCCAAGTTCCCCACTGGCAGGAGAAGAAGTGAGGCTGGGGTGAGCTGTGATGATAAAATGCTGATTGTCTATAACTGGACTGAATTTTCAGATTTGTTCTTCCTGCCAAAGCTTTTCATTCTCTGTCCAACAGCATTTTCTGAGGGAGTCAGAGAGGGAAACACATGTGCACGTACACACACACACACACACACACACACACACACGTGCAGAAAGAAAATTTGCTCACAAAACAGAAACAGTATTTTCAGAATTTACTCTGCTTTCAGACTCCTTCCATCAAGCCTCTTATTCATTTTGATTTATTTCCATCCATAAGCAGACTAACGCTTCTCTCTGCTTTTATTGTTCTTCAAGAATAGGTTTTCTATTGGAGGAAATGATGTCTGTACGACCACCACTTTGCCCACTGCAGATCTTCATTAATCTGCAGCCGCAGAGCAGGCTTTTAGCAGCGAGCACTTTTGATGGGAATTGAATTTGATATTACATTATGGGTGTAGGGCACCTCACAATAGACTGTGTTCCTTCTTGTGACTGAGCACAATCAGAGGGACCCAATTAAATAATTTAGTGCAATAATGGAGGACAAAAGAGTAGGAGGGCTTACAGAGAGGGCTCCAGCTTCTGCATTCTCCCTTTTCTGTATCATGTTAATTAATTTGCCTCAGAACTAAAAGAAAGAACACAATGTGGAAGAGCAGAGCTCTCCGACAAGATGGAGACGCTATTTTCATACAGCTTCTACAGCAAATGGGTTCTCAGGGAAATGGCCGTGTACAGGTGTCTTAGGGCTGTGGTAACAAAGGGCCCCAACCCTGCTGACCTAAGAGAACAGACATATGTCCCACAGTGCAGGACTAGAAGTTTGCCATAAGGCATCAGCAGAGCCATGCTTCATCTGAGATGCTGGGTAGAGCCTCTCTTTGGTTTGGTCCACCTTCTGGTGGTGGCCAGCAACTCTTGGCCCCTTAACTTGCAGCTTCAGAGTCCACTCTGTTGTCAGCCTGCATTTCCCCCACGTGTCTCCCCCGCCATTCTCCTTCTCTAAGGACACCAGTCATAAAGACTAGGGCTTGCATCATATTAGCTAGATTGTATCTGGAAAGGATGCATCCAAGGTACTGGGTTAGGAAGGAAACACACCTTTGTGTGGGGACACAATTTAACTACCAACAGCAATCTATGCATTCCCATGCAAAGGTTTCTTGTGTTGACTCCGAATGGTCCTTTGGTTGATTCAGTGATATCACTGTCTGTGTGGATGAGCAGAGAACTCCATGGTCCCCCAGGTGCCTTACAGTAAATGGCATAGCTTCACAATACAACTGTGAGCGGAAAAGTGAACACATCAGTCTAAGATACAGTGACCCGGATGGAAAATGGCATGGTCACACAAAGAGTACACTGCAAACCCTGATCCTCAACTCTGACTCGTCTGAGGCTGGTTTTGGCACACTAAGAACGGTCACTGTTCCTGTAATGTAGTTTACTGGGCTGGGAGAGCCAGCAGGGGATGCTCAACTATGACATGTTCATGTATCACTTCTAGTCCCAATCTCGCCCACAGAGGCTCGTGCTGGGTTTCTGGGAAACATGGAAAATTCTACATCTAAGAGATGATCATGCTAAATGGAGGAGGAGGTAAAGTTTGCTGTGTAGTGTAGTTATCATCCTTGCTTGCTCCAAGCAATTCAGGGGACAAACTCCCTGTTATCTAGGACCTACCAAAGTGACATCTAGATGCACAGCTTGCCCCAAGAATGTCTATTCTAAAGCTTAGCTAAATGGACAATTATTGTGTATTAGCAGCAAAGGGGGAGCAATAATTTGCACAGAGGCTGAAGCTTGCTCATTAGACTGGGCCAGCTGGCCTGGGAGCCCGAAGATTCCACCTGTTTCTGCCTTCCTGGTGCTGGGATTATAGGAATGCACCCCCTCATTTAGTAGCCTTTTTATATTGGTTCCAGGAATCAAACTCAGGTTCTTATGATTACAAAAGCAAGACCTTGACTAACTTAGCCGTCTCCCCAACCCCTTGTGCAGCATTTTATTGTGATAAGATATTCAGAGCAGATGTTTTCAGCATCTTTGAGTGCACAATGTAGCAGACCTGTTGGCTCCAGGTACTGTGTAAATGCCACCATCATCCAGTCCCAGAACACTCTCACCATCCCACACGGAAACTCCACCGTCATCAAGTGACTGTTCCAACCCCCTCGTCAGCCCCCGTCAGCACCACTGTCTGTCTTTGTGGCGACGGTGAAGGTGCCTGCTGTGGGAAATGCTGCCTCGGCTTTTGCAGTGTCGCAAGAGAGCTTTCTCACCTCCAGGTTACTCTGGTGTTTGAGTGGGGAAGGAATCGGCCTTCCCCAGCCGTCTGTATAACTGCAGTGCTGGGAGAGAAGCCAGGGTGGGGGCCAAGGGGCTTTAACAGAATTCTGTGCTGTCTAACCCGGAGGGAAGTCAGAGAGCGTCACAAACTCAGGACGCTGGTAGTTCTTGACTCGGAGATTCCCAAAGTGGGAAGCATTGCACCCAAGTCTGGACAGTCAGTGGAAGTTGGGAGGGGGAAGCTGAAGTGGACAGGGCTGCCTAAGCATTTGGGGGGAAGTCACAGGCTCTCTTTAAAAAGTAAGCTGGACAATAAGGCATTTTTTTTTCCATTTAGGAAGGCACCTCAATGCTACCATCTATTTCAAGAAATATTTACCTTGAAGTCACCACCCTTGAACTTAGGCCATAACATGTGTTAGGCCATAACACGTCTGTGCTTGTGGTCACGTGCACAGAGGACAGCTTCAATCTTGCTTTTATTCCAGGCAGATTATAAGACTTGAACACCTTCCAGTCCTTATCTTCTGATGGTATTTCCCAAACATTCCCACAGTTGTCAATTCAGTCATCCCTTCGTAAAGTACCTGGGGCCACACCTTTCCAACTGTGCCTTGGTGATATCGTGATGGTTCAGCAATGGAGACCCAAGGGCACTTGCAACCTACTTGAAGTGACTCAGTTTCTACGGTGCGACATTCCATAGGCTGGTAACTCCACTCGCTCAGAAGCCCGGATGTGGAATGAGACTCTATCACTTCATCAGTCCCTTTGAGACAATCTGTAAGTTACTACTGCCAGGCCCGTCCATCCTGGTGGCCCTTTGGATCCAAAGTGAGGCATGCTGTAGGCTAGAGACACTGAGTCTGTGACGGCCTCACAAGAGGAGGGAGACAGACGACCACAGCATCAGAGGTTCTCTCAGGCCTTCTTAAACGCCTCCAATCAGACGGTGGAGGGGTAGGAGGGGCGGAGAAGGGGGGGGGGAGATGGAAGCACAATCTACATTTTTCCATATTTGCAGTTAATTCCGCCCAGAAGTATCACTCTCCTTCGGCGGCAGCTGAACAGGGCTGTGAGGAGAGCACGGCAATTTCCAGCTAAACTAGAGGATAATTAGAAATGCCCTGTAGCGGGCAAGCCAGTGCTTCGATTTATTTGCTGTTTATTACCAAGTCCCTGCCCCTTGGGTGTAATGACTGTAAAACCGTGCAGGCGGCTTCTCGGGGTTTGATTTAGTGGCGTAAACGGTGCTCAGAGAGTAGATTAAGCTGGAATGTGATCAAACCTTATTTGCAATCCGATTATACAAACTGCTCCTTGCACTGACCAGATTGAAGTAATTTCCCTATAGAAACGTTACACTCACTTTGGTATAAAAATGATTAACATTTCCTGACTGCAGGTCAGCCTTTCACTTCACCGTAATCCTTTATCAGGCAATATGCCCATCTTTCTCTTAGGTTCGTCTTGTTCACATCCTGCCCGGTATCTAAGCAAGGCATGGCAGCTGGACCCAATTAAAAAAAATCTAGTAAACTCTCAGGCTCCCAGTAATGAATAATGACAGTGAGTAAACACTGGGAGACAGGGATGAATGGTGTGTTTTCTTCCAGTTTGACTGTTCAACATTATTGACTTCTTTAATGATCTAATGGAGTACTCCTCTTCTGACCAATGAGAAAATTTCCCTGTCTATTGGGAAGGGCTATGGAGGGTCTGAGAAGCAAGTGTCATTAACCTCATATGGCTGGATTTATGGTGACTAGTATCCATCACCGAGCCATTCTTCCAGAAGTATTTAAATGCTGGTAGCTATTATTCATCCCTCTTTTAAATAACCATCCACATAGAGAGTGGGGTCTCCCCTCCCTTTGCCCTATCAGGATTTCTGGCTGTGAAAACAGTTTTCTTACAATTAGCCTCTGGTAGTGAAATGCCACCAATTCCACGCCAAACTCTGAAAGCAGACCCTTGGCTCCTCACATATTTTGGTGACAATCAAAGAAAATATTTGAGTCTGAAATTCATTATCATAGCCTAACTCCAATACCCACAATAACATGTTCTGTTGTACAACATATTTAAGCTGATTTTCTTCAAACATTTTTGGCCTTAACCCTTGAGAAACCATTCACCGTCTATAAACATTCTCAGGCTTCAGCTGGATAATTGAACAATGTAGACCGAAGGGCTCGCGGTTTGGGGGTATTCCTAAGTGGCTTAGAGATGCAGATGGCATGAAATCAAAAGGGCCATGTCTCCATAAATTCTTTCTAGGGCATTTTTGGGTGAAATGTAAGCAATACATCAATTCTATCCAAAGTCCACAAAGATTAGACAAGGAGACTGGTTTCTAAATTTTCTCTAAATGAGAAGGGACATCGTATGTCTCACTGTTAGGGAATTTCAAGTTGCTGCTTCTCTTTGGAATTTACAGCATACAGAATGTAGGGAAACAACTTCACTAACTCAGACGAAAACTTCCAGGGCAGGGATGCGCGCTGTTTTCTTTCCAGGATTTGGGGAGCATCCTAGAGGCAGGATGTAGACTGTTGTGGGGCGGGATTTGCTATGACCATATACAAAATAGCCAGCATTTTTGTTACTGGTCAGACACCGGTGAATGGGTAACAAGACACAACTCATTTTACCTCCTCCTCCTCTGATGGAAATGGTTTCTTCATGTAGAAGTTAGGTCTCCCCAAAGTCATGCAGCCTATTTTTCACTTATATGTCACAAAAGCAACCTTCTTTTATAACATTTGAGAAAAAAACCTGACACAGTTAAAAAAACAAACAAACAAAAAACTCATCCTAACTATTCACATCCCTCTCGGCTCCTGCTTGTAGACATACGAAGTCCAGCCACGACAATCAGACAAATCTCACAGCCATCGCAGATGTCCCTTAGCTGCAGCTACCACAGCAAATGGCTGTTGTGCACCCAAACCTCAGCCACCAGTGAACAAAGCTGCCAGCTCTTCATTGTCACCACTGCCACAAACCAGGAACGTCAGGTTCAAAGGTACAGATTTCCACTGCATCCCGGGATGACGTTCCTCTCTGCACGGCCACAGAATACCTAGTTTTTCTGGCAGCAAGAGGGGAGATGATGAACTTGGCCTGAGCAACTGGAACTAAAGACAGCAGTAGGTGCTCTCCTGTTGTTTGGTCCTGCCCTGGGTCTTGAAGGGATGGGGGAGGTGCTAGGTGGCCGCCCTGTCCAAACCTGGAAGGCATCCTTTAGGACGCCTGGGAGGGAAACGAGGCAGTGAGAGCACCCAGACACAGACACACAGGCAAGGATGGCTCCCACTCAGACCACACCCCGACTCCGGCATCTTCAGCTGCTCCCTTGCAGTGGCCGGGATTTTCTTTTCTAAACACTCTTAGTACCTGCAGCTTCTGCTAATGGGAAATTTTAGGAATAAAGAGGTTATTAATTTGTAAGTGCAGAAGAAAATGAATGCATTCCAAGGAGGATCCTGAGGACAGGAGTGTTAGCAGCTCATTTCAGAGGTCCCCGGTTACAGAGGGCTTTCTGCGCACTTATTTTTAAATTATCCCACCTTCAGGGGAAACTTCAAGGTTGGGACACGATGTGAAATTTATCTGCAGTGTGACAGCTCTGAAGCTGTCTTACGAGCAATGCTTTGTTGGCACAAATAAAATATTTTCACATTGAATATAAAGGGCAGAGCCTGTTTCCACTTCTCCTCCAGGTCCCTGAGGTCTTCCTGTTTCTTGTTAGGCATTTTTACAAAGTGTGCTGACTGGTTAATTTCTTAGTGCCATGTATAAAATAAGTAGCATATGTATTATTTCCAGCCTAGAAATTTCTATTCAAATACATAAAAATCACTTCTTTGGCGATACACACACACACACACACACACACACACACACACACACACACACACACACACTATACACACAAAAATATATAACATTACATATATATTTACATATATATACATATATGTTGGTTTTCTGATTTTTTATGCTGCCTAATTAAGAAAACAGATTAGTGATTGTAATCCATTTGACTCCTGAAAAATATCTCTTTATAATAAAAAGTTTATAACTAATTATTAAAAGGAAAGATGAGTTATTTGGAAACACTGCACAGTATGAACTGTGCTGCATACATTCTAACACACTGAGAAACGACACTCAGCAGATCCCAACAGCTCCGAGGATGCAGAATTCATACACTGCTCATCTCTTCCCAGGCCATCACCCCTATGACTTTGCAGACAGCTCCATGTCCTTTCTGCCGACACTAGCATAAGTTTAAGAACTTGAAAAGCTGTCAATTGTACAAAAAGCTTCTTGTTTATTTCTAGGAGGCTGAGCATTAATGATGCTATTACATCAGTAAAAATCTTGCCACAGAAAACCGGGGGAAAGGCTTCCATGTCCTCTTTTTCTGTTTCCTCTCCCTCTCCTCCGCCCTTTCCTGATGTCACTTCCTTCTCTCTCTTCTTTCTGCTGTCCTTCCCTGTTCCCATCTACCTGCCTGTGTTCAATCACTACACACAGAACAGAACAGACCCACCTCTGTGAAAAGGAAGACCCCCCCCCCGCCCCGCCTCCCCCAAATGCCAGAGGAGGTGGGAATATGGAGGTTTGGACAAGTGTTCAGTGTTTATTTTTAGCTAAGGAAACATGCTGTGGGATGTTCTGTATGTCCTGTAGGAGCCCTTCTTGGGTTCTTTGTGGCGTTACCCAGCAGGTCCGTATAGAGGATGATTAGGACCATGGGCCTGAGTGCAGGTGTCTGAGATGGTCTGCACTTGGCTGTGCTGGGGGATGGTCTGTATGTCAAGTTGCTCTGATTGGTTAATAAATAAAACCTGATCGGCCGTGGCTAGGCAGGAAAGATAGGCGGGACTAACAGAGAGGAGAAATAAAAGGACAGAAAGGCAGAAGGAGACGCTGCAGCCGCCGCCATGACCAGAGACACTGCAGCCGCCACCATGACCAGCAGCATGTGAAGACGCCAGTAAGCCACCAGCCACATGGCAAGGTATAGATGTATGGAAATGGATCAATTTAAGATAAAAGCACAGTTAGCAAGATAAGGACAGTTAGCAGGAAGCCTGCCACGGCCATGCAGTTTGTAAGCAAAATAAGTCTCTGTGTTTACTTGGTTGGGTCTGATAGGCTGTGGGACTGGCGGGTGACAGAGATTTGTCCTGACTGTGGGCAAGGCGGAAAACTCTAGCTACAGAAACACAAAGTGAAACAGAGTCCAGAGCAGTGAGGGTGATCTGCAGAACACAGAGACTCAAAGGCCCGGAAACTAAAGCCCACATTTTTCACCCACACTATGTGACAGTGGCCAAACCATGGAACCTAGGTGTGCAGCAGTCTATACGACCAGGGTTTGTGGGAGCACACGCTATGACGTATGCACAAAGATGAAGCCGACCAACATTTCTGAAAGCATACCCCATCCTTAATCAGGGTAGGGCCATGCTTGCGGTGAAGACCATTCAAGGAATGTGATACATACGTCACACAAGTCTGATCATTTGCAGGAAAATGCTTATATAACTGGAGATAATCACATTAAGTTAATCAAGCCAGTCTCAGAAAGACCAAGATTATATGTTTTCCTTCACTTTGGCTCACTGGATTTTGTATAGATACATGAAATCATATATATGTATAGATATATAGTATGTGTATGTATATAGTATATATAGCATGTATCTGTGTGTGTGTGTGTGTGTGTGTGTGTGTGTAATATAAAGTGAAAGTAAAACTTAGGGTGGGCAAAGAGGATTAATGGGAGGGGGAGGGGCAAGAACAGGGAGAACAGGAGCAAGGGATCCATGCTACATATAATACATGAAAGTTTAAAAAGTGAACAGAAACAAAAGAAAGAAAAGCCAGAGAGGCTGTTGCGTAGATCGTATATGATGTCCTTAAATGCAGGTGACACAAGTCACTGAGAACACACCCGTGGCTTCCAAAATAGAAGGCTCTGGCACGAGGGCATGTGTGCATGTGTACATGTGTGTTCACAAGTGCCTGTGTGTGCACACATGCGGGTGTGGGTGGGTGTGCGTTCAGTCTCCCTTTGCACACATAATGGGATGCACGGCATTTCCTTTAAGCCTGAGGTTTTGCACAAGGCTTTTCCTTCGCTGCCTTCCTGTTTCTCAAATGCTCCAGTCACATCGTTTGCACAGGGCAGCTCACATGCCTTCGCCATGCACGACTGTGTTTATCTTTCATCCAGTGGCTTGTGATATTGCAGCAACTGCCGTAGAACTGGCTGGCTGTGTGCTGGCACCAGGCAGGCGGTAGTTAGATCTCATACTGCTGTCCCATGTTCTGTGGTAGTGACGCCCGCTGACAGGACAAGATGAGAACAACCACGTCTCTGCTGGGTTTCCAGGATCTTTGGTCATTATTTTGCCAGCTGGGAAAGGTAGGTGACCAAAGCTGTGCCAGGTACCAAATCCAAGCGCCATCCCAATTTGCTCTGTTTGTTTACTATGTCTTCTTTGGTAACCAGGGGATTTCTGGACTTCCTGGTCTGACTAATGGGCTCATTTGGCATGCTGGATCAAATTCAGTTTTTGAAGTGAGGCAATAGCCATGAGATGATTGGCATGCCAGCCTTCACCTTCAAATGTGGGGGCTTACGTCATCAAGAGCATGGGGCTGTCCCTTTAGGGATGCACCCGACACAGAGCCTTAGGAGGTCCTGGGCAGGCAGGGGACAATACGGAAAGCACTGAGCCTTGCATTTGTGATCGATGCCAAGGAGATGGCACCAGCCTCATCCTGCTACAGTCTGGACAGGCTGGCCCAACATCTCCAGTAGAGTCTCCTCTCTGGGGGGTGGAGGTGGGTGGCTGAGAGAGGGACTGCAGATGGGCACTCAGAGCTCTGCAGCTGCAGCAGTGTTGAAAAGCCTACATCTTGTCCTGCATGAGAAGTCCCTGAAAGCCTGCCAACTGCTGCCCAGCAACGCCGAGCAGCAGAAGCCTGGGAACAGCCAGCCTCACCACCGCTTCCACAGAGTGGTGACGTAACTCCTTCCCGTCGGTAGCTTCCCCAGGACCCAGCAGTCCCCCTTCGTCCCTAGATGGCCCCCAATCAAGAGGACACATGTACTCCTGCTTCCAAGCTATGGCTCAAATCCCTCACATCCGCCCAAATGCTAAAGAAGAGAGAGGAGCGCTATATACATTTGTCCCAACTTGACTCTTTCATGCAGTCAGAATCAATAAAGGAAACACAAACTGAGCGAGTTCTGGAATAAAAAATTTAGGAATTTGAACAAGAATTACAAAGGGAGGCTTCTCAGGCATTGAAGATACAAGAGAAGAAATTGTAACAAATCTTAAAAGGTCTTTTTAATTAAAAAAAAAAAAAAGCCCAGAGCCAGATAGTGGGTGATAGCTGAAAGATCAGAGAAACAGAACAAACCAGCCATGATCTTACCTCTATGAAATCCTCAGCCTCAAGAGAGAGATTTCCTGTTTACTCATGCCTTATATAACTTTCTGCTTCCTTATATAACATCTCACTTCCTTCCTAGTGCTGGGATTAAAGGCATGTGCCACCACGCCTGGCTCTGTTCCCAGTGTGGCCTTGAACACACAGAGATCCAGATGGATCTCTGCCTCCCAAATGCTAGGATTAAAGGCGTGTGCCACCACTGCCTGACCTCTATGTTTAATATAGTGGCTGGTTTTGTCCTCTGATTCCCAGACAAGCTTTATTGGGGTACACAATATATCACCACAAGAAATGAGTACATCTGTCAAAGAAAAACATTAAATCTAAAAAACAACTGAGATAAAACATCCAGAAAATTTGGTAAACTATGAAAAGGCCAAACCTAAGAATAATAGGAATACAGTAAAGAGAAGAATCTCAGTTCAAAGAACCAGAAAATATTTTCCACAAAATCACAGAAGAAAAATTTCCCAACCTAAAGAAAGAGACACCTATCAGGGTATAAGAAGCATACAGAACACCAAATAGACTGGACCAGAAAAGAAAGCCTCCTTGTCACAAAATAATCAAAACATTAAACATACAGAACAACAACAACAACAACAACAAAAAAAGAATATTAAAGGGTGCAAGAGGAAAAGACCAAGTAACATATAAAGGCAGACCTGTTGGGATTACACCCAACTTCTCAATAGAGACTCCAAAAGTCAGAAGAGCCTGAACAGATGTCCTGCAGACTCTAAGACACCACAGATGCCATTTCTGACTCTTATAGCCTGCAAAACTTAATCACTATAGATGGAGAAAATATGATATTCCATAATAACATTAAATTTAAATAATATCCATCTACAAATACAGCCCTATAGAAGACACTGGAAGGAAAAATCTAACCTAAGGAAATTAACTACACCCTAAAAACCTAAGAAATAAATAAACTCATAGCTGCAAAATAAAAAGAAGGGAAACACACACACACACATACACACACACACACACTCACACATACATACTACCACTACTATCACCATCACCACCACCAGAACAACAGGAAACTATCATCATTGGTCATCAAAAATCTCTCAATATCAATGGTCTCAATTCCCCAATAAAAAGACACAGATGAACAGAATGAATGTAAAAACAGGATC